GCCCGGCACAGGGGTGGCAAAGCCGCGCCAGGCAGCTGCCAGGCAGGGGGGACAGGCAGGAGGAGCCGGCTGCCCGCAGGAAGACGAAGCACGGCCGGCACCCACCTGTTTCGTCAGCAGCTCCATGCAGATGGCACCGCCACCCAGGACGTACCTTGGGGAAAGAACCGGGCAAAGTTAGGGCAGAGAGAGCCACAGCCTCACCCCCCCCGCTGCTCCAGAGGCGAACTATTGTCTCAGAGTAGCCCTCAGACGGGAAAACACACGAAAAAAAATAAAATAACGATCCACCAGCCCCGTCTGCGCTTCCCAGGAGAGCTACTGCAGACTGGTGTAGCGGGGAGATTCCGGGGCTGGGTAAACCCTGAGTGAAGCAGCGCCGGGGACCTCGGGGAGCAGAGACAGGCAGGCAGCTACTCACCCCCCTGACAGCACCGGCGACACGACCCTCACGAACGGTGGGTCAAAAGGAAAGTTATCCTGAAACGAGAGGAGGGAAGCAGAGGCGCTGAGGCAGGTCGACTCGCCGAGGCAGGCGCAGCGCGGGGAGGGGGAGGCGCGGGCAGCCTTACTTTAAAGGAGAAGTTTAGGAGGATGAAATCTGTTCCTTCTTTCTCTTTGAGCATCTGGAGATCGTTGTGCAAAGCGCTATCCTCGTCAACCCTGCCGAAGGGAGAGGGGGGAAAAAAAAAAAACCCACATAAGCAACCACCCCAGAGGGTCAGAGTCAAGGTCGTGCCCCTCACGTCAGCGGCGCTCGCTGCCACCGAAGCCCAGAGCTGCCGTACCTGCACACCCTGGCTGCCACGTGGACCCCTCAGGTCCTCACCCGGAGGGCAGCGACAGCACGGGCTGTCAGCATTCTGCTCCCGCTTTGCAGAGGAGACCATCACACCCTTTTTTTTTTTTTTTTTTCTTTTTTTTTTTCTTTTTTGCATGCCGCCAGCTTAAACATAAAGCCTGCCCAAGGAAAAGGCAGCGCTGGCGTCTGGCGGGTGTGAAAGCTCGGGGTTTTTGTCTGATGCACCTCTTCCAGGACTCTAGGAACAGCAGACAAGACTTGCAGAGCGCCCCCAGATTCTCTCGTCTTTCTCCGGAGAGGTCATCTCCTTTCTGACGTGGGGGCAGCGAGCAAGCTGCCCCAGCGAGGCTAAACCCAAGCTCTGCCAGGTGCTCCCCTGCCCTGCGCCCTTCCCCTCTGGCTCGCAGGGACGGTTTTGGTCCCACCCACCAAGATCCACCACAGTTGCAGGATCCCAGGCTATGGCACCTACTTCAGGAGTTTGACGTTCCAATCGTACAGGCTGTCGTTCACTAGTTCAACTGCATAGTATCCTGCAAGGCAGAGGGGGGACGTGTCACTCTGGGGGGGAACGTGTCACTCCAGGGG